GGAACTCAAAATCTTGTAAAAGTGAATGTTGAAAACTATCTTTATTAGAAAACATAAAATACTATGAACTGGAGGGAAAAAAAGAAAATTGCAGGCTAGAGAAAATATTAGTGATGGATTTTTTTTTTAATGATCTGTAAAGTTGCTATTTAAAAGCTGGTGACAGGGGCAGCTAGGTGGTGCAGTGGATACAGCACTGGCCCTGAAGTCAGGAGGACCTGAGTTCACATCCAGCCTCAGACCAAACACTTGACACTTACTAGCTGTGTGACCCTGGGCAAGTCACTTAACCCCAATTGCCTTAAAAAAAAAAAAAGCTGGTGACAAACAGAAAAAATAACTAGCCTATAGTTTAACCTGGCCTCCTTTTCCTCTATATCCCTGAACAGGAAGGGTTAAAGAGCCAAGAAAGTAGGCAGGTATTCAAAGGAGGGTGAGGCACATATAATATAATCATCAAAATGAATAAACCTATGCCTATAAGAAGTGAATGTAATATCAAGGCCAAGAAAATATAATGCAATACAAATACTGCCATTCATTTTGAAATTTTTAGACCATACCAGTAGCAAATTATGAGTGGGTTGGACAGCCTTGCCCTCGGAGAGACCTAAACAGAGCAGCAGTTTAGAAGTCTTTTTGTTTTCAAATTTTAGTTCTGGCACTTGCTGTCAATGTGGCACTGAACAAGTAACTGCTGCTTTATACCTCCTTAATCTACAAAAGGAGAATCTCCTTCACCTCATCCTCCCTGCCCCCAAAAAGCTAAAGACAAAAAGTAGTTTAAAGCTAATAAGCCCTTTACAAGCTAGTTTATTTAATAGCATTCATTAGCTAATATTCCCTTGCAGGCTATTGACGGGTTAATCAAATTATTATTCTACTTATCCATTTCCTGCTTCCAGACCTGAAGGTCATCCCCATAACCATGGATCACCTATCACGCTATTCTTCAAAATCTCATTAAAATTTACTTGAAGCTTGTCTGGATAAACCTAAGCTTAATTCAAAATGCACCAATAATCTTTTTCCCTAATACTATGAGTTACTCCACTATGTTTTAAAATTTGTTTTTATTCTGAATTTAATGAACACTAAATAAAACGGGCATTTCCACATACCTAGAGCAGAAAAAGAGAACTGTATGTGAAGCTGTGGATCTGTTATGTATAGCTTACTGTTTTAGAAATAAACACACATATGCAAAATAAATTCAACACGTAACTTTCAAAAGCATCCTGCTTGTCTCTACTATCAGGACATATTTATACATATTTTGTATTTTTAACCAACTCTTAAGCATTCATGCTAATAGAATATTTGGTACTGATAATAAACAATGGATAATCTAACAATAATTGCTATCTAACTCTGAAAAGAGTTATTGGCTTAAAAAACCAGGTTTACCTTTTTAAGAATATTTTATTTAGGTTAACATTAAAATTAATTTGCCTTCTCTAAGCACACATTGGTTGGCTAGTGAGGGAAAAACAAATGGAAGGAAAGCTATTGGGCAGCTGTCATGGATAATCAAAACTTTCTACTATTTATAGAATTGCTCAAAGTTCCTTCCTCCTGGTCAGCCTTTTCTTACATTCTCCTACATATAAGTCTTTGTCCCGGTTGTACCAAATGCCAGGAACATTCTCCTTACCCAGCTGGTCATCTAACATCAAATAGATCTAGAAATCTTACTTCTTCCTCCTGAAAACCTTCCCAGACAGATGAGAAAAGAGAGGTAAAAATAAGCCCCTTAGCTTCATTATGAGCATGGAACTCAAATGACTTCCTACAACACCAAAATACACCTACCTACCACAGAGTATAATCAGAAATTCAGAATCAAGATTCTGTCTGCATTTTCATTGTGGAAAGGTACCGTTAGTTCAAAAAAATTTCTTTATGTCTTGTTTTTAGGTTGATATCATGAAAATGATGACAATCTGAAACCCTGTTTTAAAACTGTGAATGTAATTTGAACACACTTGTAGAAATTTAATGACTAACCAAAGAAGAATATATCTTACTTTTTAAAAAATTAGCTCTGACAAAACAAGTACAAATTGGACTCTGAGAGTTGTTTTCCCTGTAAAGAGCAGGCAAGTTTGGGTTTGAGCACATTACCTTTCAGTCAACAAATATCCTCTTCTTTGTGCCCAGTTCTGTGGAAGACAAAGATAAACCAGAAGAGCTAGAAGAGCTTAGTTGCAAATATCAGATTTAAACACAAGAAACAATTAGAGGACAAAACAAGAAAGACAATACAAGGAACAATTAGAAATGAAATGTTTAATTGAGTGGTACTAAACTCCACAGAAATAAGAAGGAATTGATTAGTTTGAGGTGAGGTAATAAGAGAAGTCTTCATAGAAGACCTGAGATGGGCAGGGAAAAGCTTTGAAAGGCAGAAGAGATGACGTATGGAGAGCACTGCAAGCAGGAGATTATAACAAGAGCAAAGGAGGAGAGGCAAACCTGCTCGGGTTTGTGTGTATAACAAGGAGATTAGAATAACCAAAGTTTGTATTGGAACATAGGGGAAACATAGGGGGAAATAGAGCACAGACTGAAAACTGCTTTGGGTTCGGGATCACCTCTCATTTATCTTTCTATCTGCTTTAGGATAGCACAGTGTTTTGTACACAGCAAGCACTTAAATACATTTGGTGAATCAATTAATCTATATATTTATATAAATGGTTTAATTGCTGTCTCTAGTCAACAAATTATGAACAATGTTTTAAGTGTGATAATACTCATGTTGCTTTACTTGCTAAATTCTTTTTATAATATCACCTAATATAATAAACAACATCATAAACCTCTTGCACTCAATTTACTTTCTTCAGTTCTTAGCAAAGGAATATCTCTGAAATCAAAACATTTCTATAAAATAATAAAAGCTAGAATTTATATAGTGCTTTAAGGTTTCAAAACACTTTACAAATGTTACCTCAATGTTATCCTCACAATAACCCTGAAAGGTAGATTCTAGACAGATGAGAAAACTGAGGCAGACAGAAATTGAGTAACTTGCCCATGGTCATGCAGCAAGTAGATGTTTGAGGTAAGATTTGAAGTTAGGTCTGATTCCAGGTCCAGCATTCTACCCACTGAACCACCTAGGTGCCATTTAATGAATAGTTAACTGTAATTTCAGCACTGTTAAATAATGTTTTTAGTTCAAACCTATTCCTTTATCCTCTCCATTAGTATCAAAACTCACCTAGAAATGGAGGTCACTAATCTTTATGAAAGGCTCCCTGCAGGCGTATATTTGACTTAGAAAATCACATATTAACAATGAGTATGTTTTATTGTGTTTTTATTTATTTTGTTATATATTTCTCAATTACACTTTAATCTAGTTTGGTCTGGGTTAGCGTTTTGACACCTCTGGCGTAAACCAGAAAAAGTTGCCCACACAAATGTATACATTCATTATGCAGTAAAATCCAGTTACAAAGGGTTTTACTCCTCCCACAATTTATACCTATACTCGGGGTCAAACGGTGATGCTGTATTCATCTCTCTACACCAGTATTATATCGCAATTTTCCTATAAATTACTGGTCGTCAATCCTCTCTCCCATCTGAATATAACTGAGTGGTGTTATAACCCAGTAGGAATTTTTTAGAAGTTTTTCTTTTTTTTAAGTGGAAATGAAAATAAATATCACCGTCACGAACGCCACCAACAGTGGCAGCGAAGTGTCCGGGCTCCATCGAACCCGGATCTCTCACCTGAGGCTCGGGGGCGGGCAGCTTCCCGACACCCCGCAGCACCCGGCGGCTGCCAGGGAAGGCGGGGCTCCGGCGCCCTCCAACAGACCCCAAGCCCACCCCCGTCCCCTTCCCCACAGCGCGGCTCGATTAAACAAGGTCGTCCCACTTCCCCAAAGCCGCCAACCCGTACGACGCAGAAGCCATGATCGCGGGGCGAGCGCCAGGGGCGGGATCCTGCTCGGCCCGCCCCCTCCCCCCGACTCCAGGGCTCGGCCCGCGCCCTCGGGCTACTCCGCCAACGGGGCCCTCGGGGCTCGCTCAGCTTCCGCCTTGGTGGAGAAGGCTTGGCCCGACTCTTTGTTAAAAGGGAGGCCGAGGTCTCCGGGCCTACACTAGGCCACACGGCCGTCTCCCGGTGCCCTAGAAGCTGCCGGTCCAGTACCCTGACCCACCCCCCCACCCCACCTAGTCCGAAGAGGCCTACCGAGCAGCCGCAGCCACAAACGAGTCCCGCCGCTCCGGATTACGTGCGCTCGATCTCCGTTCCCCCGTCCCGGTGGGTACTAGTCGTTCTCCACCTTCAGTCACAGCAGCCGCTTAGCCGGTTGCTGGGAGGGGGAGGGGGAGAGCAGTACGTAATGTGACATGCGCAATGAAGGGAATGCCGGGAGAGGGGCGGAGCCTAGGGCCCCACTTTCCCTGAGAAGAGAAGAAAAGCTGAAGAGGGCGTGTGTGCTCGCCCTTCTCCCTTGCTTCTTATTGCCCGGATGAGCACTGGAGCTGTTCAAGTGTGCCTCTGGCCATTATTTTACCCGTCAGCAAACGTGGGGGAGGAGGATGGGGTTCTGGGAAGAGTAAGGGGCAATCTTGGTCAAGGAATTTCCGTACATATTCTAAAAGGACGAGCAGGTAGATCCGAATCTGGAGAAAGGTCCAAGTTCCTCCTAGTCCAGTCAGAAGATAAAAAGAAAAACAAATTTCCACCCCATGTTAATACGTATGTACATGGTCGAATTTCCCATTCCCTGCCCCTTCGGGCGTGCGCACGGCCACGTGGTCCCATTAAGCATGAAATAGGTGTCCCTACACTTTATGAGCGGTAAAGGGGAAGAACATTTTTGACCTTCGCCCCTCTCTCCCGGAGCCTTGGGCGAGGGCCAGAACCCCACAGCCTCACGCCGCATGCGCACAATTACGCAACGTACGTAAAAGGAGAGTGCCGCGGCGACTTCGTGCGTGCCTGCGTGCCTGCGTGCCTGCGTGCGATACCCGGCCGACCGGCAGAGACGGCGTGCCAGGGCCTGCCCCCGCGCATTAGCTCTTGGGGGGCTCTGGGCGGAGGAGTGGCTGTTCACTTGGCTGTGGAGGAGACCGCAGGAGAGGTCGCCGGGACGAGGTTGTAGCGACGGTGGCAGGTGCACCTGTCCTCCTTTAGCTTTCAGTGCAGGTAGGGAAGGGAGGGAGCGGGCAGCGTCTGACGGTTGGTGCGCATGGACCTGGCCGAGGGATGTGGCTTGGGAAGCCTCGGGGCCTAGGCTGCTGGTCTTGGCTTCCCCCATCCCCGTTTCCTCCGACTCCTTTTTCTTCCGTCCTCTCCATCTTCTCTTGGTATCCCCTGATCTCGGTACAGGCATCCCTCCCGCCCTCCCGGCACCTTTCCCGAGATTTCAACGGTCTTCAGCCCCCCTTTTTCGTAAAGTAGGATGCTGAGCCAATGGTCTCCAGAGTCCGGTGAGGACCAAGTAAGACAAAGTGCACTCAAGTGCCCCTGCTGGATCATAAGAGGTTGGGAAAGCACGTACCACAGTTCATGGCTTTAGAACTGGCAGAAACCCGAGGAGAGACGGCGAGGTACGGCCGGAAAGGGCACTGGCTCTGATGGTAGGGCACACCTGGGTTCCAGTCCCATTTCTTGACACTACCTGTGTGTGACCTTGGGCTAGTTTCTTCCTTCGTGAACTGTCTGGCCGCCAGTTTCCTCATCTGTAAAAAGAGCATGTTGGACTTGATGGCTTTGGAGATACCTTCCTGGTCTAGAATTACGGTCTTATGATCAAGACCAACATCATTGTTTTACGTACGAGGAAACTGAGGCCCAGGGAGGTTAAGGGAGCACCAGCTCTTACCTACCAGGGCCAATTTAGCTTCGATAGTATTTGGAAGAGAGTCCTAGAAAATCTCCCAAGGTCATTGAGCTTAAGGTTTCTGAGTCAGGGCATGGGATTTGAAAGCTCATGCTGTTTTCTTCCTCCGCTCATTGCTTCCAACTACTGACTTGATATCCCGGAGAAGAGGCTGTTTGAGCTTAGGGAGATAATCCGAACTTGTTGATGCACTTGACCTACTTCTTTCCCTGTCTTTTATCACTCTTTTGCCTACCCTGACAGTCTGTTGTGTGCCTTGCTTGTCAGGGATGTAGTGGTATATTGCTTGAGAGCTGAGGTGACAGGTGCTCCTAAGATGTTGTGTGGGAACTAAATACCCAAATGTCATGGCTAATTTTAACCCAAAGAATTTTGCTGACATCTTGTGTCTTATTCTCTCTTTTTTTTTTTTTTTAATAGACAGTACTAGAAAAAAAATTCAACAAGAAATGTTCAAAGCCAAGTCCAGGGTATGAGATAGCATTGACTTCCAAAGTGTTCCTTTTGAGGACTTACTTAAAAAGAAGATTGACTTCAGTCTAGAATGATAAAGGCTAGTCTGACTGAGCTGTTTATGTTCATAAGTGTTATGAGTAGAATGAATGGAAACATTCAGCAAATCACAGAATATGAAAACTAAGCAAATGCTTCTTCAGGCTTCAAGGGAGTTTTGGAACAAATAAAGAGAAGCTTTAAAAAAACTAATAGCTTAAAGTATAAGAAATTAGATAAATTTATGTATGCATACTGGTGGACTAGGAATATTTTGGTAACAGGTTGATTGTCAAATACAGTTATACTTAGCAGTAAAATATTCCTTGGTGTCACTATGAGAAATCATCTGACCCAGTATGACATTTATGTTAATGTGTATCTTTTTTCTGAATTTGATTGTGGTTTAGTTAAGTTCAAAGAAAGTGATACTATTCACCCATGTGAACATAAGTCACTGAACTCTTGAGGAAGGCAGTGCCCTATCTGTAGAAGAAAAAGTAATGAATTTAGTGTCAGGAGACCTGGGTTCATATCCTGACTTGATACATACTAGTATGGATAAGTCATGTTACCCCCTGAACCTTAGTTTCCTGATCTATAAATTGAGGGTAGTAACATTGCTCATGTGTAGAAAGCACTTTATATATATTGGCAGTGTGGTGTAGTAGATAGAGTACTGATCAAGAAGATCTGGGTTTAAATTCCTCTTCTGACACTATCTGTGTAACTCTGGGCAATGTAACTTATTGAGCCTCAGTTTCTTTGTCTGTAAGGAAGGTATGAGGAGAGCAATCCTTGGAGATTGGCAGCCACAAGTTTCCTAGGGGCACCTCGCCCCCTACCATGCAAAGTAATACAAATAAAAAGCTGCATAATGCAAAAACTCGACAATGACAAGAAGATAGATTAAAGCCTCCACCATAAGTTCTCCAAAAAAAAAAAGCATAATTGAAAACCAGTTTACCACCTCATCAACCCAAGTGCCCTTACACCTCATGTCACTTAGTCAACAAGAAGTCAACAAGCATTTATTGAATACTGGGGATTTTTAAAAAGGCAAAAAAAAAAAAGCAGTCCCTACTGTCAAGGAACTCACAGTCTAATGGGGGAGATATGGGGGGGGGGTTGTGCAGCTATATACAAACAAGGTATGGAAATTGTAAATTGTAGATAACAGAGTGAAAGCATTAAATGGGGAATTAGGAGAGACTTCTTCTAGAAGATGGGATTTTAATTGAGATTTGAAGGAAACTAGGGAGGCTAGGAGACAGAGATGAGGCAGGAGAGTAGTCCAGGTGTGAGAGAACAGCCAGTGAAAGCGCCTGGATTCTGAAGATGGGAGTGTCTTCTATGAGGAATAGTAAGGAGGCTAGTGTCAGTGGAGGGGAGTAAAGTATAGTAAGACTAGAAAGGTATGAAGGGATTTGATTGACAATGGAGGGTTTTAGATATGGTACTAGAGGTGACAGGAAACCACTTGAGTTTCTTGAATTGGGGGGAAGTTGGAGGGGGAAGGTCAGGTGACACAGCCAGATATTGTATTTAGGAAAATCAGTTTGACCACTGAGTGGAGGATGGACTGTGGTAGGGAAAGACTTGAGGCAGGAAACCAATCTGCCTGCTGTTGCAATACTGGAGAGGTAAGGCAATGAGACCCTAAACCAGAGTGGTGACAATGTCAGAAGAGAGAAAGAGGGGCAGCTCAGTGGTGCAGTGGATAGAGCACCAGCCCTGAAGTTAGGAGGACCTGAGTTCAAATCCGGCCTCAGACCAAACACTTGACACTTACTAGCAGTGTGACCCTGGGCAAGTCACTTAACCCCAATAGCCTAAAAAAAATGTAAGAGAGAGACATATACAAAAGATATTTCAGAGGTAGAATCAATAGGATTTTGCAACTAATTGGATGGGGCAAGTGTGGGACAGTGAATGAAAGTGAGGAGTCCAGGATAACACTGAAGTTGTGAACCTGAGGACAGTGGAGGATTGACTAATAGGAAACTTAGAAACAGGAAAGGCCTTGGGAAAGACAATGAATTCAGTTCTGGGCATGTTGTGTTACAGGTTTCTATGGGACATCCCGTTGGAGATGGGAGATGGGAAGCCATGTGCCCTCCTTGGCTACAACCTTCATTTCTGCTGTATCTTTAGAACCTTTTCAGTTGCCCAGAGGTATTCCTGCTCCCAGAGTAGATGAAAACCTTATCATTCTAGGCAGGCCTCCCTCAGCTTCCGGTTTCCTTTGTCCTAGCCCAAGGTGACCACACAAACACACAGGTGGGGCAATTTTAGGCACTTTCCCAGGAAGATTTCCACCACCAGTGTAAGTTGAGGCCCTTGAATAAGATGAGCTCCAAGGACCGAGAAGAAGGAAAATCGAGGATGGCTGCTGAGAAGTATGGAGTTTGAAAGGAGTCACGTTACTGATTAAAATTAACATAGCATAATAGGAAAGAGGCAGCCATATGTATTTTCATATGTCCAGGGCTTGACAAGTTCATGAATGTGATATGGAAGAATGTTTCTGTTGTTTGGTCTTCTTTAAGAAAAATAAATAAATAAAACAAAAACCACAAAACTTCACATTTGGTGACAGTGAGGAGGCAAAGAGAATATCAATGAGCTTAAGAATCTAAGGAATAAAATGTATAATGGGAAAAACCAGAAGGAAATTATGTGGAAGAAGTAAATTAATATTTCAGGATTAGAAAACCTCAAATTAATGTGTAGGTCATCAGATGATACGCAAGAATTCTCAGAAGGGGAGAGGAGATAGAAAGACACTGAAGACTTCGATTTCTACCTTTGCCTTTGGGCTAATAGGGAGAATAAAGGTAGAACATTTGAAGAAAAAGTTTTGAAGAGAAAGTTGAATGTGGCTAACAGAAAGAGAACAAACTGACAAGACCCCCATTTAAATCATGGAAGGACATACAGAATGAAAATGAGATGATGGAATGAAATCTTATGTTTTAGGTGACTCCAAAAAACAAGAGTTGGCAACAATAAATGATAAAATCAAGAGAGAGAGAAACTACATTATGCTTTAAAATGCCATGGCCATGAAAAAATGTCACATGTATATTTACCAAATTACATAGTAGCCGGGTTTTTTAAAAGAAAAACTAGACAGATTGCAAAAGGATATTGAAGAGTACATTAATACACTTGTCTTCACGTAGCACCTCCAACAATTGTTACTTTCCTTTGTTGCCATCGTTGCCAATTTGATGGTTATGAGTTAGGACATCAGATTTGTTTTGTTGTGTCACTGTCGTAACACAGTATTTATAAAAGACCGTTGAGGGATTATCCCCAGGAAAATATAAAGCTAAATGAATTGATAGATAAGCTGGTTTTGAGTGACCTGGCAGTTTCTGAATGAGAATATTATAAAGACACATTTCCCGGCTGCTCATGGTAACTTTATATCAGTTGATAATGTCCTGGGACATGAAGGAATCATAAATGTTTAAAGGAAAGTTTAATAAAAAGTATCAATTAAAGACCACAAATAATAAAATAGTAAACCATAAAGGAAATACGAACAAGAGATACAAACCCAAATGAAGATTAAGAAATGACATCTTAAAGATTGAATCAAAGAACAAATCATGGAAACAATACTTAACGTAATAACAATGAAACAGTATATCCAAACTTATAGACACAGCTGAAATATTCATTTAGAAAAATATGTGTCTCTGAATTTATATTAACAAAATAGAAAAAATGAACTAGGCATGTAACTAAAAAAAGAAGCCTAGAAAATAAATTAGCAATCCCAAAACAAGGACAAAAGAATTAC